TGAGGCATAACATATTTTACATATCATACAATATCAGTAAATTATTTTTTTTAGTATACAGTTGTCCCTCACTATGTTGTGGTTCGACTTTCATGGACTCACTGTTTCATGGGTTTTCCAAAATATAAATCTAAATTATTGCAGATTTTTCACTGTACTGCGGGATTTTATAGTAGTGTGCAGTATACGTATTTTGTTACAATTACGTAGGTTTGCGAGTTTAGAAAATGGTTAGGAACATTAGAAATGTTTTTAAACGTGTATCAAAGGTTTATAAGAGTGTGGAAAGGGTTTATAAAGCCTTAAACTATATGTAAATACTAAAATATAATGTCACTACTTCACTGATTGTCACTTATCTTGGGGGTGTCTGGAACATAACCTCCATGATAAGTGAGGGACCACTGTATTTATGTAGAAACCTGGATGTTACGGACACTTAAATAATTTCAGTTCAGAAGACTGCAGAATAAACTCACACTTTAAACCCTGTTAATGTAGTCAACATAAAAGGTATCCGTTATTCTATAAAGCATCCTATGTGCAATTTTTTCTTTTACTCCATTTTGTTCTAATTATTCAACCTTTGTAGGTTGTACTGTATTTTTGGCATTCATTCCATTTATCTTTGTGGCTAGATCCACCAGAGTATATTTTCTTGCTTTGCACAAAGAGCTATTCTGTACAAATGGCAACATTTGTTTTCTAAACTTCTTAAATACAGGGTTTTATATTTTTCTCCACATGATAACTACATAATAGATTCTCAAGATGTTGCTGCCTGAAAATAGTAAAAGGACTTAGCCAGGGATTAGAATTCTAGAAAAGTTTGCAAAACAAATAGAGTATTTTAGAGAGCTAATAACTAGAGAAATTTTATTTATAATTTTGACAGTGTAAGACCTACTTAATTAAATTGAATGTGTTTTAGATATCAAATACAACCTTTATGTTATTTGGTATTGATTACATGAAAGCCTTATTTATTAAGGTTTTAATACTCACAAATACCATGCGAGGTATGTATTATTCCTATTTTAAAGATAAGAAAGTTAGAGTAAGCTGCTTGCTTAAGGTCACTCAACAAAATAAATTATAAACTGAAAATACTTAGGGGTTTTCTGACTCTAAAACATAGACCCTAAAGGAAGGACAGCATTTATTTTCAGATTATAAATGCCAGATTTTTCAGATTGGATATCTTAGAAAAGCATTTTAAATGGTCGTATTGATATTCCTGTTCCCTCAGTGTTTGCTTCAGGGTAGCATCTTTTCTTTTTTCTACTTCCTGTCTTTAAGAAAGTAAGAATTTCATCTGTCTGTCCATCTAATCTTTCAGGTGACTGAGTCAGTGGAAGAGTGAATGGTCGGAAGGACCAAGGACAGTGTAGAGGTAATTTTCTGTTTGCTGTTCCAGTTTCACATAAAACATAATTGTTGCTCTACACCTTGTTACTGTGAATTCCTTGTGAGCAGCCTCTTTATTCCGAGTAGCTGGTAAATAGTACTTTTTTTTTGTTGTTAATTAAGCAAATAAATGGCATGTTGGTAAAAACTATTGAAATTTTATAGTTCTTCTAGGCAGTTGGCAAATATTTACATTTTAATGTTTTTCTTTTTTCAATTTTTTTGTTTTCATTAGCACGTTTGTGGTGCATTAAAGATCACATTCCTTGTGGAGGGCTGGTATGTGTACATAACATGTCTCCATTCTTTTTTCATTCCCTCTCCCTCTTCCCTCCCCTCTCTCCCCCTCCTGGGCAAATATTTTTAGACGTGAATGTTGTGAAGCTTGGGTTTTAGTCTCAGAGCTGTCACTATTTAGTTGAGTCACGTTCCTCTCTGGCCTTATTTCTTTACCTGTAAAATGAATCCTTTAACCGATGCTTTCTCACGTTTATTCTGCCTCTTTTATATCCTGATGACTTACTACTTTAAGGGAAGAAAAAAGACCACTGTGGGTTAGTGAGGTTTGGAGACATTTAGAGAAGGAAATCCTAAATGTTTATCTATGGAGACTGGGTAAAGTGGTTTGTACTTTAGGAGAAAAGGGTAGGAATGAATTACTAAGGTTACTGGAGTGTGGATGTGTGAACTATCTTTGGGGTATAGTGATAGATAAATTTTAGGGTAGTGGTGAGATGTGAAGGCATCGTGGGAATTAAGCTTGGAAATACAGGGTGGGGACACATGGGTGGTCTTTGTGGAACAGGAAACTGTTGAGGTTTTGTTTTTTAAAGAAACTAAACAGCTGAACAGAGGAAAGCAAGGAAACCAGTTAGCAAAGCTACTGCAGGAATTGGCCAGAAGTGCCTGGCCGCGGTGCTGATAGCAGAAACAGAGACATGGAGGAAGAATACAGCTAACACTGCACTCTGTGTTCAGTGGTGTGGGTGTTTTACTAGATATCTTTTATATTACCTATTTTACCCTTATAGCCACCCTTCCAGGTGAGTGAATTATCTACTGATGAGTAACAAATTGGCCCCAAACAGCTTAAAACATGACTCAAAACAGCACTTACTTATTGTCGTAGTTGTACCTGTGTTACCTGTGGGCCAGCAGGGCAGGGGTGGCTTAACTGTGACCTCTCGCTCTGAGCCACAGTCATCTCAAGGGCCGACCAGGAAAGATCTGTTTCTGGGGTCACTTGCGTGGTTGTTGACAGGCTCGAGTTCCTCATGGGTAGCTGGACTGAGGACCCAGTTCTTCCCTCTGCGTTTCCCCTGCGGCATCCTCCTCCTATAGCAGCCCCTGAATGTTTGATGGACTCCATCAGAGTGAGCAGGGCCAGGGGGAGTGTCAGGAGCCCCAAGTCCCAGGTGCTGGTAACCAACCACTTTTTATATGAACATTGCTAGTGTGTAAAGGATGGTGTGGAGATAGCAGGAGAGATGTGACTGGGGAGACATGCAGGGAGATTGTACCCTTTTGATGACGATACATGTTGCATTTTGGAGGAGCGAAATAGCAGCAGCAGGATTTTTTACAGTGGGAAATGAGGGGAGGTTTCATGGGCAAAAAATACAAAAATTTCAGAAACACAATTCTTGAAATTAAAATCAACTCTAAGGTAAGCAGATAAAAGAAAAAAAATCATTGTATCCCATAAGCATGGTAAGTAGAGTTCAGCTCTCATGTGTATTGCACTGATTGATAGAGGAACCACTAATGGGCTGTGAAAATGGCCAGAATGCTGTGATCACTCATGTGACCACTAACACACCAGACCTGTGCTAAGTGATCCATTTGGCTCTGAAACTTCTCTTAGAATTGATATTATCTTAAAAATGGGAAACAGATTGGATTCATTTTGCTGTTGTTATGTCTGAGATATTTCAAGTGTCCCTTGCACATAGAAAGAATCATTGTTAGTTTCACTCAATTTAACTTCATAACAAAATTCTACTGTAAGACGCTTTTGGAAAATGTCCTAGACCAACACTCTTGAGTCTCCACAGCACTGCCCAGAGAACCGTGATCTGCACAAAGGAAAGGTAGAGGCAAGTGGTTCTCTAGCTGGAGGATCTTTTCAGAGAGGCATTCTGTTTTCAGGTGGCTCATCAGTTGGTTTGCTTCCTTCAAAAGTCTAACCAGCAGCTCCTGCCTGTGTGCAGCAACTATTGAGAT